CCCCCGTGAGATCACAGCCGCAGGCATAAAGTTTAGGATTTTCAGCATACATTTTAGAGGAACTCAGTTCAATCCATAATAGATGGGTGGAAAACAATGAAGGAAAAGTAAACATAAGTGAGAGAGTCATATAAGCAAATTCCTCAGAAAGCGTTTATCCAGAGCCACTACTATGCGAGGCTTTGCTTGTGGCGTGCTCAGGGTTCAGGGTTGCTTACCCTCTCCATGACGAACACTTGGGGACAGGTAATCCTTTGGTGGAGGTTGTTCTGGGTGCTGTGGCATGTTTACTAGCATCCCAGGCTTCTACCCAGTGGCATCTCTTAAGTTGTGCCAACTGAAAATATCTCCGGCACTGCCAAATGTGCCCCAAGGAGCAAAATTGCTCCCAGGTGATCCACTGTGTTGGATATACAAATATCATTCCTGCCCACCAGTGGCAATTTTTTCATGTTCCTTAGGAGCAGTCAGCCACCAAAGCGTTGGTGGGAGTTGTCAGTCCCCCTTTCCTTAGATTGCTGGGCTACCTAATGTCTTCTCTGAGTTCTAACCAAGCAGTGGGCTGGGGGTGAGGAGAGAGAGTGGAGAATATGTTCTCTGCTTTCATCACTCCTTTCCAGCTCTCTCCTCATGTGCACTGGCATTTTAATTAGTTTTAAGCATTCTAAGGGTTATCTCTGAATGATATTGAACTGTCCATAAATGAGAAGCAGAAATATTGGATCAACATATAAAAACAAGAAACTGAACTTTGCAGTGGAAATTTGACGGGAAAATGTTCCACGTGGATAAGCCCCTCCTGTCAGAGGTTTGTGACTAAACAATTAGCACCAAGACCTGCCCTTGTCCTCCCATTTAACTGAGAGCTGGCAATAACTAAGTGGTAAAGAACAGCAGGGGGTGTTTGTGTTTGGTTTCACCCACATGCCATGATGTGGCATTTAACTGCAGCCTCAAATTAACGTGGCTTTCCCTCAGTGACTCAAAAACCTTCGAAAGCGTTCATTAGCAGACACTTTGGTGAGGTTAGCAGCTTTCTGCCTCATATACTTACCATGTTATTCTAAAGATATTCGTGAGAATTATTAGAGAATTACCGTTCCCACAGTCACCTCTTCAGAGGAAAGCAACTATACATGCCAGTGCATTTCCCAAGGCTTTGAACTGCCATTATCCAGTCCCACCAAGAACTCTATCCCTGAGCCCCCGGAGGGGGAAACTGGCATTTGCGGAGGACTCCCACTTTCTTTCATTCCTTCTAACACCCTGTGAAGCACTCATCAATGACCGGACCTCTCAATGTGCAGGTGCCCCACAAGTTCAGTCCTTGAAATCTTTACCTTCCTCCCTCACACTCAGGATCATCTGATCCACCCCCAGGCCTGTAAGTTGACCCTCGGTGGCCTTATGTAAACCAGAGTGCAATGCCGCCCAGTCCTATGCCCTCTTCACGATCATGGGTGCGTTTAAGTCCACTATGGAGGCCATTGTGTCCATCCATCTCATTAAGGATTTCCCTTGATGTGTGTGTGTGTGTGTGTGTGTGTGTAAGAAAGAGGTTTATATACAAGAGCAATTGTATATTAAGAAAACATCCCAGCCCAGTCCAGACCAAGTCCATAGTACGATATTAGCCCATATGTCTCATACCAATCTATACAGTCCTCTTCAGAGTCCTGATCCTGGTGGTACAGTGGTTATGAGTTGGGCTGCGGTTCGCGTGATCAGCAGTTCAAAACCACCAACAACTTCTTGAGGAAAAGTCTGGGCTTTCTATGCCCATAAACAGTTACAGTCTTGGAATCCAATAGGGAGTAGCTATGAGTCAACATTGACTGATGGCAGTGAGTGAGTTTTTTCTATATCACCAAACAAAATGTCTTATCTTCACCAGTGGATTTTCCTAGTGGTGTGTTCAAGGGCATTGAGTGGAAGTCTCCCCATCCTTGATTTTAAGGAACATTCTTGTTGAATTTCTTCTAAGACTGATTTAATTTCTTTGAAGACTGATTTAGCCATTCATTTGGCTGCTCGGAGTCTAGCCAATGTTCTTTCCCCACATCATAATTTAACTGGATTAGTTCTCTTTTCTTCCTTATGGCGACAAGTACCAACTTCCAAATATTTCCACCTGCAGACTTCTCTGAATTTCACACTTTTATATCCAACTTGTAAGAAACCAGGGCTACTGTATTTTACTTGACGATCTATGACATACAAGGGAACCTCTTCAGCTAAAGCAACCACCTGCCGATGGCCAGAGACGCAGCAAAGTCAGAATTCTGAAACCATAACCGAAAACAAGAAAACAATCGAGGATACCGCAAGTTCAAGTTTCATTGGTACGAAGAATTCTTGAGCTGCCAGGCTCATGACCATCTTCAAGAAGGAAGCCAAGGAAACTCACAACTATCTTAGCCTGGCGCTAATATCTACAGCTGTCGTCTCCTGGACCAGCTGCTGTTCCTAAATCAGCCGTCCTCTGAGGCAGCTGGTTTTAGAGCTTAGCGGAGCTGACTGAGAGCATGTATCTCATGGCTGCCAAAGGCCAGCCTTACAAACTGTGTGAATGCCAGTGTTGTCTCTGTACAGAGGAAAGGTGGTGATGCTGCCCCTTAAATCTGGCAGGCATCTCTACACTGGTGAAAACACCAATTCAGAATGTTTGCAACAATCCCATTTGAGATGTTTGTCTTTTTTTCCCTTAGAGTCAGTCCCCTGGCACTTTGCCAGGCCCTGGGTATCAATTCTTCTGCCAGGACACATCATCTCTATGAGCAGCAGCAGTTAGAGTTTCTGTGCTAGAGTGTGCAGTTCCCTATCCCTTCACCACACTCATAATATGGCACAAGTGCCAGAAACCTTTGAAATTAAAACAAATCCAAGTCTCATTTCTCTGTTAGGATCTGCAGGGCTTTGGATGCTAAAGAGCTACCATTTAGCAGATGGACATTGGGCCTCCACTCAATTACTCCCTCAATGCAAGAATACTTTGTTCTATTAAACTGGCATTCCATGATGCTCACCTTCCCAACACAATCACTAAAGACAAAGCAGGTGCATAAGCAAACGTGGTGAAGAAAGCTGATGATGCCCGACTATCAAAAGACATAGCATCTAGGGTCTTAAAGACTTGAAAGTAAAGAAGGGGCCATCTAGCTGAGAAGCAACAAAGCCCACATGGAAGAAGCACACCGGCCGGTGTGATCACAAGGTGCCAAAGTTATCAGTTATCAGGCATTAAAAAATAAAACATCATATCACTGTGCACTCACCACCCCAATACATTTGCAGAAGACAAATGGGTGCATAAACAAATGTGGTAGGAAAGCTGATGGTACCCGGCTACCAAAAGATATAGTGTCTGGGGTCTTAAAGGCTTGAAGGTAAACAAGTGGCCATCTAGCTCAGAAGCAACAAAGCCCACATGGATGAAGCACACCAGCCTGAGTGATCACGAGGTGTCAAAGGGATCAGATATCAGGCATCAAAGAGCAAAAATCATATTATTGTGAATGAGGGGAAGTACGGACTAGGCACCCAAAGCCCATCTGTAGGCAACTGGACATCCCCTTATAGAAGGGTCTCAGGGAGGAGATGAGCCAGTCAGGGTGTGATGTAGCAACAATGAAACATGCAAGTTTCCTCTAGTTCCTAAATGCTTCCTCCTCCCCAACTATCATGATCCCAATTCTACCTTAAAAATCTGGCTAGACCAGAGGGTGTACACTGGTACAGATAGGAACTGGAAACACAGGGAATCCAGGATGGATGATCCTTTCAGGATCAGTGATGAGAGTGGTGATACCAGGAGGATGGAGGGAGGGTGGGGTGTAAAGGGGGAACCGATTACAGGGATCTACATATAACCTCCTCCCTGGGGGATGGACAACAGAAAAGTGGGTGAAGGGAGACATCAGACAATGTAAGATATGACAAAATAATAATTTATAAATTATCAAGGGTTCATGAGGGAGGGGGTGCAGGGAGGGAGGGGGAGAATGAGGAGCTGATGCCAGGGGCTTAGGTGGAGAGTAAATGTTTTGAGAATGATGAGGGCAATGAATGTACAAATGTACTTTACACAATTAATGTATGTATATATTGTGATAAGAGTTGTATGAGCCCCCAATAAAATGATATTTTTTAAAAAGAGCTACCATTTATAAATCTAGTTTAGTAATCATAATATTTTCTTCAAATCTTTTGAATGGAGACGGGTTTTTAAAAATTGTGAATTACAATCATGTCATGATCTTTTGATGAACATAACACCTCAGACTATTTATCAAAGAAATTGCTCACGTCCTTTGGAAGTAACATTATTAATGACCAAGAAGAAAATGATGGAAGGGTCAAATTCTTTACCTAAACAATTTCCTTGTCAAAAAACAGCAACAACAAAACTCAAAAACCAAACTCCCTGCTATCAGGTTGGTTCTGATTCATAGCAACCCTGTGAAGCAGAGCAGAGCTGTCCCTGTGGGTTTCTGAGGCTGTCAATCATTAGGAGAGGAGACAGCCTCTGTCTGCTTCCTCCCTGCAAACAACAGGGGGGTTTGAACTGCTTCCCACTTGTGCCACCAGGGCTCCTAATGACAAAACTAGGAAGCGTTAAAATCATGTCTGAGGTATCTTCTACCTACTAAGTATATAATTTGCACTGCATCATAGGTTCTCAGAAATCTTCTGACTACTTCCATGCAATATTTCAAGTAAGCTTTATATGCAGGGAAAATATATGTGAGATCCTTTATTCCTACTGTCTTAAGCCATAAACATGTTTAATTTTTTGGCTCAGGCTTGAGAAAGAGATCCAAGGTCTTGAGAAAGCTGAACTGCAAATCTCAACCAATGAGGAAACAATTTTAAAGAGATTAAAATCAGTTGAGAGGACAACAGAAGACATCATAAGGGTAAGCACTGATTAATATTAAAACTATGATTTCCTTCCAAAATATGTCCGCAGTTTGGAATTCTATGGGGTTAAAAGATAACAGACATGTTCCATAAACTTTTTGAAGCCCCTTTGTATAAAGTCATGCACTGCGTAGTGCCCCTGACATGTTCTGTAAAGCATGACATTATGTGATTTGAATGTTGTACAGACCCCACCTTACATACAGTTTGTAGACAACAAGCAAGTTCCATTATTAAGCCTGTCTTAAGTCAAATCCGTATGTAAATCAGAACAGCTAGTTTTGGCTCCTGTGTAAGGTCAAGTTAGTCAAATGTGTGCCTTTGTATATAATATGTAGTATATTTTTCTATTCATAAAAAAATATTTCATAAAAAATTTCTTCCAGATATACTAAAGCATCTTAACATAATAACACAATGCTGATAACAATGTTTTGATGTTTTCACAAAATAGCACCCTTTTGTTATTGTAAGCAATTGTATGTACCTCAAAATTTAATATAATAAGCTTTACAAAGGTTGAGACATGTAGGTGGTTGGCATTTATATGTGGTCAAATATTTCCTAAACAGATATTCTACAGTGCATGACTAAAATCCAGTGAAGTACATCCATATTTATCATTTATTTTTAAATTGACTAATCATACAGAATTCTTTTTTTTCATAGTCTGTGAAGCTAGAAAAGGAAGAAGCACCAGAAGGTATGTTTTGGAACAGCCTATATTATATATATTCAACTTATTTTTTATAAACCCACCTGCATATTTACATAAAACATATTTACAATAATGTTTCCTATGATTACACAAATATTCTAAATGTATTTTGAACTTACATTCCTTTTACAGAATCAATTGAAGACATCTATGCCAATATCCCTGACCTTCCAAAATCCTACATCCCTTCCAGGTTAAGGAAGGAACTAAATGAAGGAGTAGAAGATGATGAACAAAGCAGAAAAGGTATGACGGATCAGTGTCCAAGGGCAGGTTCTCAATTTCAGGTATTCTACAACTTTCTGTACTATTCTATAAAGAGCCCTGATGGTATAGGAAATATGTGTTGTTCTGCTAACTGCAAGGTCAGCAGTTCAAAACCACCAGCCCTCCAGAGAAGAAAGAGGAAGCTTTCTACTCCCGTAAAGAGGTACGGGCTTGGAAACACGGGGCGGGGGGGTGGGGGGGGGCCCTGCAGTTCTGCCCTACCCTAGGTCGCTATGAGTTGGAGTTTGGTTTGGGGGTTGGTGATATTCTATGCTTTCAATGGTTTCCACGTGACAAAGTTCCATGAGGCGTGTGAGTCACTTGTATGGTTAGGAATCAGAGGGTGACCTTACTTATCCCTGCATTGTATTTTCTAGCTGACTGGGTAGGAAGAAGAAGATAAAACCCTGAGGGAAAGAGAGTGCTCTTTAAAAGGTCCTCTGGTCAAGACGTTTTTCACCAAACACATTCCATCTAGTAGACCATCTCTTGGTTGACTAAGATCCTTTAAGAAAACGAAACTATCACTAGGCAATATTTAAACTCATGTAGTGTTAATTTTCATTAAACCAAGACTTGAATACATCTGAGAACATGAAGGATTCTATTGGGTCAGAGAAGGGATCTCTGAATTTAGAATGGAAAGAGAAGTCACCCTCCACCTGGAGGAAGCAGTCATTTGTTCATTCAGCGAAGACTTTGTGAGCATCTACTGAGCGCCGAGTGCAGTTCAAACGTAAGAATACAACAATGAATATAGCAGTAAAAACCCATGCCCTTATGCATCTGCCATTCCAGGCAACAGACAAATAAATGTGTTAGAAAGTTAAAAGTGCTGACAAGAATGAAACAGGGAAGCACTCTACAGAGCAGTCCAGGAAGACTATAATCCCCCACTTCTGTCACCAACTGTGTGATGGATACCAGATCTCAAGCCACACTCAGACTGCATCGTGGGGGACTTCAGCTCCCCTTCCCTACACAGGTCAGCAATCAGCTGCCCACAGCACCTCCCCTCTTTCACCCCTAGTTATGCAGGGCTAGGCTCTCGAGGTCCATCCATGAGCTCACGTCCACAGGATGCTCTCCACTTCACACCACAAAGTTCCCTCTACTCAGTTTGTCTCACAATTCACTGGTTCCAGAGATTATACCATATTACTACAACATCGTTAAGACCTAAAAGGATACTTTATTAGAAATATTGAGATGCAAACAGGTCTGAGAAGGGTGGTAGCCTGGAGCTTCCATGTCCTGAAGGGATATACTACCCTCTCCCATGCAGGGTCACTGACCGAAGGCTCTCTCTGAGTCCTCGTACAGGGTTCTTAGTAACATCATCACATGACCGTGATAGCTTAGATCATGCTTCCTAAGACTTAGTCACCAACGGCCCGCAGGTGATCCCTTTGGTACGTGTCGGCCCACCACGCATTAGTCTCAGGTATTGAACCATGATGATTCCAGCTCTCAAAAGCGATATAGGAGGAGTTTGAGTGTGTGGTTTTGCGATTTGATTTGGTTTTCGCAGGAAGATAAGTGCCATCGATCAAGCTGGGGGAGTTAATGCTTATCCTGTGTGCTAGAAAGGAAGTATAAAATCAGCATGGATTCAGAAAGGAAGTGGAAGGGCACAACAAAAGTATTTCCCACATTCTAATTTTCACCAGCATCCTATTAATTTACTATGCCAGTAAAAATTCTAGTCAGTTGGCTGTGCATGGGTCATAAAGCAGATCAAAACCAAATCGGGTGCCATCGAGTTGATTTGGACTCACAATGACCCTGTAGGACAGAGTAGAACTGTCCTCAAAGAGCTACCTAGGTGTCTTTCTCCCTCAAAGTGTCTGGTGGGTTTGAACCACCAACCTTCCTGTTAGCTGCTGAGCATTCAACCACTGCAACACCAGGGCTCCCGAATAGCTCGCCCTCTCCCAAGTCAGCCAGCTCTCTCTAGTACAACTGATTTAGCATGGCTGATATTAATCTATTTTTAGCACTTCCTGTACTTGTAGACAGGAGCAAAAATGTACAGAAACAAAAGGCAAAATGAAGAGCCTATGATTCAAGCCTTTTCTCTCCTTGACACCAGTTCCACATTTACACTGCCGCCCCCGCAAGGAGGTCATTCAACAAAACAGACTTTGCTGGCCCTGTGCCTTCTGCAGCGCCTAGTTGGGCAAGCGTATTCTTCCTAGTGAAAAGAGATCTGACTCCTCCCACCTACAGTGCAAAGGAGTGGAGATCTCTTTTGTGGAGTTTATTATTTGGAAAGATCTATTTTTATCTATCCAGTGACAATACCTACTCTTGGAACCATCTGCTTCTCTCCTCTAATTGTTTCCACTTCTCAGTACTTCTGTACATAAAAACCCATGTCATATATAATATTTATCATTAGATAATTAATGAATAAGATCAGACTTTTAAAAAGTGTTTCACATTTTTCAAAAAACGCTAAAGGATATATACTGCATATAAAAATAAATGCTATAAAACAGGCCCGTTGATAAGCATCAAAGGTAAAGAGCAGCGTTTTGTCTCAACAGCTTTGTATGCCATGGAGATCAAAGTCGAAAAGGACTTGAAGACCGGAGAAAGCACGGTTCTGTCTTCCATCCCTGTCCCATCCGAGGCCTTCAGAGGCGCGGGGATCAAAGTGTACGACGACGGGCAGAAGTCCGTGTACGCAGTGAGCTCCAATCACAGCGCAACCCACAACGGTACCGATGACCTGGCCCCCGTGGAGGTCGAGGATCTGTTAAGACAAGCCTCAGAGAGAAACTCCCAATCCCCAACAGAGCTCCACGAGCCTGTGTATGCTAACCCATTTGGCAGGCCTGCCACCCCCCAGCGAGAAAAGGTGAACGCTGGGCCAAGTTTTCAAGAAAGGATGAAGATTAAGCTGAATGGGCTGGGCAGTCATGTAAACAATGTGGACAACGGGCTTGCGGAGGAAAAGGGCAATGGCCTCGGTCGTAGCAGCCCCATCTCTCCAACACCTCATCCTCGATCCAAAAGCCAGCCAGAGGAGAAGAGAACCCACACCCCGCCAAAGAGGCTGGTGACCCCGCGAGCAGAAGCAAACACAAGACAGGACACAGACGCCTCCTCTCCAAAGGCGAGCGTGAGCCCCAGTGAACCGAGACTTGAGAAGGCAGTGCCCCAGGCTTCTTCACCCACTTGCCGGGAGGAGGAGGAGGAAGACGTGAGATATAGTATCGTTCATTCCCTGCCCCCCGACCTGGGGGATGCGGAACCGGTCACAATGCTTTTCATGGGTTATCAGCAGGCAGAAGACAATGAGGAGGGAAAGAAGCTTCTGACAGGGTACGATGGGATCATCCATGCTGAGCTGGTGGTGATCGATGAGGAGGAGGAGGGGGAAGGAGAAGCTGAGAAACCATCCTACCATCCCATTGGCCCTAACAGTCAGGTCTACCAGCCCGCCAAACCAAAACCACTTCCCCGAAAGAAACCAGAAGTCAGTCCCCATGAAAATACAAACCATAAATCTCCCCACAAAAATTCCATATCCCTCAAAGAACAAGAAGAAAGCTTAGGCAACCCTGCCCATCATTCTCAGCTTGACGTTCAGATGGCTGGAGATGGGACTGAAGACCCATCCTTAACAGGTAATAAAAATCATAAGAATGGCAAGGCATGCCACTGCTGTGTGGTCATGTGATAATCTCGTTGACTAATACACTGATCTGTTATTACTAGTGCTAATCTAAATTATTATCTCCATACTTGATTGTCACTTCTAAGGATAAAGAAGCTAAAAACTATTGCCTTATTTGGATATGACATTAATTTACCATAGAAACTTGAAACCCTTCTTCTGTCATAGTATGGTATAATGTATGTGAATGTGTTTGGCGCAGTAATATTATACCATCAATATCATATCTTTTTCCCACTTGTATGTAATACCAACTACTGGTTTGTGACTCCTCGTGAGTTTAACTTTCTATACATATAGCAAATTGCCTTAATTCACAAGAAAAAAACCTAATTTTATTTTTGAGTGATATTTTATCTACTTTGCTATACCTAGTTTCACTCATTTTATATTTTATTAACTTTATTTCCTTAATTTTTCTACATTTTAAAATAGAATGTCAGTACACTTTGCATTATCTACAGCCCTTAACCTTGCAGTCTTATCCATTTTAGCAAATTTATTTCTTTCAATATTCTACCTACTTGCATTCTCAGTCTTTATAGTTTTCTAACTAGAACTGTCAAAGGAAAACAACTTGAACACTTTTTTTCAAAAGTGGTAGTTCATCAATTTTAGATTCCATATTATCATTTGAATATGTTATCATTTATAAAGTATGAATAAATCCCTGACAGAATCAATTATAAAAGCTGTACTTATCTTGGCTAAAGATGTAAATTTAATTACCCAGACATACATGTTCTGGATGTTTGAAAGGATAGTAATTTCAAATGTCTCCAATAGAAGACTGCTCATTAAAAAGCAAGAAGTATTAAATCCTAATCACTCCAGCAAACAGCACTGATTAGTCTATAGAAGTATGATAATACTCACATAATACAGGAAGGTCTCTTCCTTTCCTACCCATAGAGCAACTGCTAGGATGCCAGTAATACCATAAAACAGACAGTGACATTTTTGAACTCGTTTGATTAGACATACTCACTTACACATTTAATTATCTGAATAGCTGGCTAGCATCCTCGGGGTGCATTTCGGTGACCCTCTGAAATCAGAATTGAATGAGACGTTCCCACAGTGTAAACCGGCAAAGACCACGAGGCCCTTTCTATTTCAAGAAGAGCTTCATCTGCTAGTCAACTCGCATCTTCAATTCATTTGAGAACAACACAGGAACATACTGCTTATGATCAAAAGCCACCACTGAACAGTTATTACATTACCCTCCATAAAACCCCGCTCCTTTGGATATTAGCCATCTCTTTCTGGACACCCTTACTCCTTCTCCCCTAGCCCTGTCCACACATTCACCCCTGGAAAAAGACAGGAAGTGACTAATGTTTCCAGACAACACTAAACCTGCCTCTGAACTAAAATCATGAAAACAGGAAAACCTATTCCAGACAAAGTAACAATACCGAGCTCTGTACTATCAATAAATGCATCTTGCAAACAGCATGCTCCAAATTCCTTGCTTCCATCATGATATTATTTTACATTCCTGTTTCCTAACTCGGCACAAAGCTGAGTTTTTTTTAATGGGTTTTTAAAATAAGTAAAGATGGTTGGCATATACTCACAGGAGCCTTATAACTACCTATGCACCTCAGTTTCACAAGCACCAAGCAGACTAAGCCTCCCATGCCTCCAAAATATGGCTATGGCATTTTGAAATAGACCATTTCCATTCTTTTGTCTGTGGTAGAAGTCTCTTATTCAATTTTTAAATTACAGTAGGCATGTTGTTGTTGTAAGTCGTCATCAGTGAGCTTTTGCTGTGAACTGCCAGCCCCATCAACCACACACCTGGCTTGGCTTGGCAGTCCTCATCAAATGATGCTGGCATGCCTCTCACTCAGCTCTATTCTCCACCTTCGGAGAGGTCAGTGGTGTTTCAGGATGAAGAGGTGGAGGACCTCATCTTTGGGGGATTCACAAGCTTTGGACACCAAAATTACCAGCCCTAAAAGCTGTCAGGAACCAAGGGTTACTAGGAGCAAGTAGGAAAGTTCTCTTTCTTCCAAGTTCAAAGGTAGGCGTCTGACTTGCTATGAGGAGAAATCACAGAGGAGGAGGGAGGAGAAGCAGAGAAGGGATAGATGACCCTAATTTTATATTGGCTACACTCAGAGGTCTTACCGTTGTCAACATTCTCTGGCCCAAACTTATATACAGTAGGCTGAAGAAAAAAAAACAACTCTAACAGTCCAGAAAACTTTGTTTCCCTTAAGAAATGGAATTATGATTTACTATATGACTCATTCCTGATTCATTTAAATATAAAATGCCTTCAAAGGACTTTACTGAATTTACTGAATCTCAAAGTGAGGAGTAATTGTAGAAAAAAAGGAGTTTGTCTCTTCCTTAAAAGATGACTTTAAATGGGCCCTTGAACCTTTTCCTGCTCCTTTTTTGGCATCGGCAAGGTTGAGGCCCCTGAAATCCAGGAGTAGAAACTGAATAAAGCCTTCCTTATGTCCTCCGCTTACCTCCAGCTACGGAACCAGAGCCCTCTCCTTAAGTTTCCCATCCGCCACCTCCCATGAATAGAAACTTTCTTCTGAGAGAGCAAAGGCAATTCTTCCAGTCAATCCTAAATTCAAAGGAATGTTCTTGGCCCTTCCATTAGAAATCATTGTTCCTCTTACAGTCCCAAGAGAAATAATGCTTTTAAATTCAAGTGAGTGAGCATATTTCATGTAAAAGGACCATAAATATGATCGTTGTGTTGTTCAATCTTGGATCCTGCTCCTTCTCATATTTGTTTGATGGGGCACGGAGGGGGAGAGCTTCTTAGCCATAGGTAGCCATAGGTAATTTTGTTGTTTGGTTTATAGACAATAAAATAAATACATGCCTGAGAAATGAGGGAACATGCCTTCCTTGGGGTTTGGTTTGTTTTAGTTTTGTCATTAAACCAAATGGTGTAATCAGTGTAATGGCTGGTTCTTGGGCCATATGGCACATGAAGGTAATGAACAGTGCCAAACTAGTCCACCAGTGCTATGAGTTAGAAAGACACGGTTTTTAAAAACATTTTCTATATTCAAAATAACATTAGCAATGAAATGTGCTTTTAAAAAAGGTATATATCAGTTGAGATCATACCTGTGCATCCTATACATACCTTCACAAAGGTATTTTATAATAGCTCCAGGCCTTGGGTTATTGTTTCAATCATAAATTTGTTTTGGTCATTCGACATCCAAGGATGGAGTCTCCTGGAATGACCAAGTTTGAAAAGCGGAAAGCTTAGCCAGTCATCAAAAAAAGTTAAGTGCCAGGGCCCTTCTCTCGTCTCTGTTTTAGTCACACGGAACTCAGACAGAGGTAAAAGATACCATCGTTCACCTATAGGAATGTATCTATGCATAATAGTTAAAAACTGCTGCACTCATTCTTTAGTTACCCAACTAATGTTGTGTTTGTTCTACTAATTTTTCCAATCTTATTCTAGAAATAGGTTCCTCTGGTTCTGAACCTTCTTCTACTTTCAGTTAACCATAGCTTTTTATTTCTACTATCTCTTTGTGCTACTAAAACAATGCTCACATTGTTGGATAAAATCATCTGAGGTATGTTCCAAAAATTTCCTGCATTCTATGACATGGTCATTGACAGTGACAATTAAGGCTTTTCTAATATGTTTTCCCCTTTAATTTGCAGCTTTAAGGATGAGAATGGCAAAGCTGGGGAAAAGGGTGATCTGAAAAGAATACCATCTAAGTAAACCGCTATTGGAGAAGAAATTCAACTTGCAAATTTCTCTTCTGGTTTTTTTTTGTTTCTTTTTCCTGAAATCCAAAAACTTGTGGTATATATTTAGTCATGTGAATAAGCAGTAGTTACTATCTGTGAGAACTTCTAAAAACGCTGGGGATAGCAAATGCTTTACATTTTCCAGTTACTTGATATGATTCAGTTGGAGGGGTGGGGGTGGGGGGTGGGGAGACCAGCATATTTTTATTGTATTGATACCAAAGCATTTCTAATAAAAGCCTGTTAAAAATAAGAATAAAGTTATTTAAAATAGCCTGACTATATTGTATTAACTGGTACTATAACTTGACTAATGCAGATGTTGAAGGGGCAGAGGAGGCCACCGCACCTCTCTGCAGACACACCTGTCTTCAACCAGTAAGCACATCATCCCAAGTCAATAAAGCAACTGCATTCTCCTGCTGATGACCAATTGAATTGGCTTGGTAGAAACTACAGCTCTTGCCATATATCCCATAGGTGCATGCAGGAGTTATCCTTCAACTTTGGCTGAATTTGGATTACCCTGATAATGATGACTTACCAGATAATAACTGCCATAGCCAGTCCTCTTGAATTATCATCTATTTTTGTCACTGACTTCAATGTGTTCCCCAGGGTGCAATGACTAATTTTGACCTACATCAACTTCCCATATTCTCCAAGAGCACAAACCTGTTTATCTCATGTCTGACCAATACATGTGAACAACTTAGAAAGTACAACCATCCTAATATGAAAGCAAATGTCTATATCATTCCTATGTGCCAGTATAATGAACTTCATAATTTTAACAGCTCTCTGCAGGACTTCTCAGGAACTGTTTGATCAATTCCATCTACTTCAATAAATATTTGTGGAGCATCTACTGTGTTCTCTGCACTGCACTAACCGTTAGACACACATACGTGAAGGGGTTTCGGGTTTGGGTCTTGTGAAGTTTACTTTTTATCAGGGGAAACAGATGCGTAAACCACAGATAATACCACCATATTTCAAGTGTTCAAGTGCTGTGGGAGCATAGTGCAATATTCTGCCTTAGAAGACCAGCAAACACTTCAGAGGAAGGGAAGGTCAAGGAAGCTATTGAGGGACCACAGGGATTGGTCAGGAAGAAAAGGAGAAGCCTGGAGTGGAGGTCTGTGCTGAGAACCAAGCATGGGCACAGTGCCAGAGCATGAAAATGGGTCTCCCTCCTTCTCTTGCCCCCCCTTTCCTACTCCCCTCAACCCTTCATTGCTGAATGCCTCCATCTTTATCTACGGTGATATGGGTGACTTCTAATTCACACCATTTGTTGTGTGTGTGTGTTTTCACTAAATTCCAAGGGTCTGACCTATTGTCTCCGTTCTTTGGTAGATTGCCTATTTGAACAATAACAGTAGCTTTTCCTCTTCTGGCTCAGAATATAAAATTTCACCCTGTGTTTCATGGGGTTTTGAATGGCTGACTTTTCAAAAGTAAATTGCCAAACCTTGCTTCTGAGGCATTTCAAGGTGGACTACTATTTTCAATCTTTTGGTTAGTGTTAACTATTCCCACCACCTGCCACAAGCTTCCCTTTGAAAATGACTACATAAAAAAGAAAAGAATAACCTAACTGTGGTGGCAACTTACTTGTATAATGTAACCGAGACCTCCTTGAATCCATTCCCCAGACAAGGATGCTCAGCTTCCTGTTATAGAATGACCACCATTAGCTTCTACCATGCCAAAACCTATCACCCAATGACAGTAGAAATCCCCATTCCATGATAATATCCCAGACTGTCAATAGAAAACAGCCTTCACTGAGCTTCTCAAAGATAGGAATCTACTTTCTCCAATATACTCATTCCCCCTATACTAGTGGGCCTCTGTTCTCATTAATAGATCATTCGAACACTCCCACTTTACTGAGACTCCTGACTCCTTCCTTCGTACTCTGCTAAGGTGTTTCCACATCTCCCCTAATTCACTACAGGTCATGATTTGAAGTTTTAGGGAACTACACAGCATCCATTAGCACTAACTCCAGGTGTTCTTGTCATGATGCCCTGATGTCCTGATTTGTGGAAATTGTGCCAGGAAACTCGCCTATCTTGCATTATTACATTGCCCTTCCAACATCCTCAAAAGTTATTCTCACACATGCCCCCAGATCTTGCAATACCTATCTTGACAAATCCTGAAAGTCTTTTAGTGAGTAGTCTGTGTTGGGCCAGAAGTTGGGTTCCCTGCTGGTCTCATGAGACCTTATCATAGGGGTTAATGAGAAGTGAAAGGGCAGACACTGGGAGGGATAAGTATAAACCTGCAATGTATCAGCCTCAGGTTAAGTTCTATGCAAGGAATGGCTCCTACCCATCTTTCCTCTTCTCTCTCTTCCTGTGCTTTATCTTAATCCACTGCAAGTGAGAGTCATAGTCATTGTGCTAATTCCACATGCCAAGGGTTGTCACCATCCAGTTATCACGGAGCCCTCCCTGACCAAGTGACCGAGCCAGTTCTAGAATCCCATCCTGAGTGTATCTGCTTTCTTGGACTATTCTTCATTCCAAAGAGGAGCAGAGCCTGAAATTAGAATTGTATGCAAGTGGGTTCATGGGTGATCCCAGAAACAGGAAGAAAGAAAGAGAAAAGAAATAAAAGTCAATTAAAAAAATCCAGTTGATCCAGTTGATGCTGACTCATTGCAACCCCCTAGGACAGGGCAGAGCTGTCCCTTGGAGTTCCCTGGACCGTAACTACTGACAGAAGTAGAAAGCTCGTCTTTCTCATGAAGAACCGGCTGGTAGTTTTCAACTGCTGACCTTTCAGAATGCAGTCCAATGTGTAACCACTACTTACTGGTCTGATGGAGGTTGGGGAAACCTCCAAGATTGTGACCATTCCATAGCCTTCCAGCTTGAATTTGAACCCACCAAACCAACCCAAACTCACTGCCGTCAAGTCAATTCTGACTCTTAGCGACCCTAATGCACAGGGTCGAACTGCCCCTGTGGGCTCGTGAGACTGTAACTTTTTACGGGAGTGAATGCTTCATCTTTCTCCCAATTTCAAACTGCTCACCTTTTGGTTAGCAGCCCACTGCATAAACCATACACCACCAGCGCCCTTCCTGAACCCACCAGAGGGGATCAATGTAAAGTCAAAAATTGATACATTTGTGAGTGAATGACAATACCAGGGAGGAATGCATTCCCCAGTGCAATCAACCACGCTGCTCAGTGACAGTGACACTATTAGACAACAGAACAAAACACTGCCTGCTCCTGGGCCATCCTCACAATTGTTCCGATGTGTGAGCCCCTTGTGGCAGCCCTGGGTCCATCCATCTTGTCAAAGGCCTTCCTCTTTCTTGCTGCCCCTCAACTTTACCAAGCAGGATGTCCTTCTCCAGGGACTGGTCTCTCCTGACATGTCCAAAGTATCTGAGACAAAGTCGAGTCGTCTGTGTTAGGCCAGGTTGACTAGAGAAACAAATGCAGTGACATTCATATATGTGTAAGAAAGAGGGTCCGATCAACAAGTAATTAAGACAGTGTTGCAGCTCCATCCAATTCAGGACTCTCTGAGTCCAGTACTAGTCCAGAAGTCCCTCTTCAGATTCATGCAGCCACATGCAGGGAGGAGGAAGGCAGGAAGACACAGGTGGGTGTGTGCAGAATCTAGTGGATCCCAGGGCAGTGGAAACATGGCAGGGATCAGCAAGTCACAGAGCCAGTGGCCCAGTCCAAGCAGGCAGGAAGGCAGAAGGGGGCTGGGGGTGAGGAGGCTCCCAGGGTCCTCCTATATAAGAAGGCCACACTCCTAAGGAGACAGCATCAGACTGTGACCTGATTGACAGGTTGGATTCGACCCCTACACTTTTATATATCTCCAAGTTGACATAAAATTATCTACCACGCCATCCTTGCCTCTAATGGGCATTTTAGCTGTGCTTCTTCCAAGACAGATTAGTTGTTTTTTGGTGGTTCCTGCGAGATGAAATCCTTGACAACTTCAATTTTTCTCTGCATTTTCATGCTGTTACTACCTCTTGGTCTAGTCGTGAGGATTGGGGTTTCTTTACACTGAGTTATAACCCAAACTGTCATCCCTGACCTTCATCAGCAAGTGCTTCAAGTCCTCCTCACTTTCAGGAAGCAAAGTTAGGTCATCGGCAGCATTTGCTCAAAAACCAAGCTCCGAAGGAAGGGGCAAGAAAGAAGAATGAGTGGAAACAGGAACTCAAAGAGGAAATGGGAAGAGTGTGTGGCATTGAGGGTACTACAACCTATGTCCTGAAACAAAGTATGTATAAACTGTTGAGTAGAAAACATGCTTGTTCTGTAAACTTTCACCCAAATGACAAGTCAAAGAAACACTTCATGATTGATGCTCTAGGCAGCAGTTTAATTTTTCCAGAATCTCTAAATTAAAGACAAAACACCACCCAAAACTGTTGGTCTGAAGGGAAGCATTATTGTTGTTCATTCGTTACTATCAAGTTGGTTCCAATTCATGGCAAACCTATGCATAACAGAACAAAACGCTGCCCACTTGGGCGTGGTCTCCAGAATCACTGGCACGCTTGTGGATTTTGAGTGACTTCCAACCAGGAGCGTCATTTTTCTGGACACTATCAGGCAATATTCTGTGATGATCCACAGCGTTTTCAGTTGGCTAACTTTGGAATGTAGGTTGCTAGGTCTTTCTTCCTATTTTTTTCTTACCCTGGAAGCTCCACTGAAACCTATCCACCGTAAGAACTCCTGCTGGTATTTGAAATACTGGTAGTATAATTGCCAGAATTGCGTTGTTGTTGCTAGATGCTATTGAGTCCGTTTGGACACGTGGTGGCCCTTGGTACCCCAGAACGAAGCGCCGACTGGTCCCGTGCTATCCTCACAATTGTTATGTTTGAGCCAATTGTTGCAGCCACTGTGGGAATCCGTCTTGTCAAGTTTCTTCCTCTTTTCTCTGCCCTTCTACTTTACCAAGCATGATGTCCTTTTCCAGGAACTGGTGGTATCTCCTAATACCATGCACAAAATATGAGATGAAGTCTCACCACCGTTGCCTCTAAGTAGCATTCTAGCTGTACTTCTTCCAGGACAAATCTGTTCTTTTGGAAGTCCATAGTATTCATTATTCTTCATCAGCACCATAATTCAACTGCATCCCTTCTTCTTCAGTCGTC